TTCATTTGTTTGTAGCCAAACACATTTGGCTTTGTTTGGTTCATGCATTGTTTGTTTACTTATGTTAAACCTGATCATTTTGTTTATATGACTGTTTTTGCTTATTTCTTTAATTGATTCATTATTTTGTTTCATTGATGTAAGAATATAATTTTAGCTCACATGGGGGGAGTTGTCATACAAGCCTGTGGCTTTTCCTCTACCCCTGCATGTTTATTTGTTTCTGTTATACTTATGTTTTGCAAATTTTGCTTTTACTTTGTATGTGCAATAAAATAAAACAACAAAACAACAAATAAATGTCCCTGTCAATTGCTGTATGTTTACTTCTCGCTTGTGTTCTCAGGAAAAAACATGATGTTAAGTACCGTATACATGCAAGTCTCCACGATGCTTGGCTTGTCGTACAGACCCGGGAAGAATTTCCTGACAAAGTCGCTCAAGAACCGCAGGTCGAAGGTCAAGTCTGCCTGCATGTTGGCGTCCCTGTTGTCTGGGTCTGCCGCATGTCCTGTGTGCCGTGTGATCTGGGAAAAATGAACGTGGAAAAAAGATGGTATATTACTCACACAAGTCCCTGGCATGTTTGTCAGTTTTACCAAATTTCTACTCTTTCCAGTATTCTAAAGCCTGGTAGAGGCTAGGCAACTCAAACATAAGACTTGATGTGCCAAAAGGATATATACAAAAGAAAATCTGAGCAGCTTTAAATATCTTTCAAATTCACACTATTTGCAGTTGGGAAGCTTTTTAAACTTCCCATTCTAGTAATCTCCAAGCAGATCCTACAGTGGCAAGACAGTATCCATTGGCTAATGGACAGGTGCTAATGGACACTCCTCTGGTCAATGAATACTGTCTTGCTAGCCTGGTTACCAAACCTATTATAGCTCTCGAATCCTACATCCTCTATAATTTGCAGAGAGGATGTAGGACTCGGGAGCAATAATAGGTTGGTAACCAGGCTACTGTCTTGCCACTGTAGGATCTGCTTGGAGATGACATTTTAGCCACCAAACCTAGGGAAATTTGCCTTGCCTAAATTTGCAAGCCTTTTCACTCATAGATTTTTGTATAGTACTGTTACCTTCATCATGTCAGGATACTCGAAGCAGGGCATCCCATACACCCCTGTCTCCTCATCCTTAAACACAGGGAAGTTAGACTGCAGGGAGTGGGAGGAAGGTTCTCTCTCTTTCCAGTAGCACACGTTGATGCGGAGTGTCTGGGAAAACAAATATGAAGTCAGTATTTACATGTAGATACTAGTACTAGTAGTACAGCATAGCTTTATGTTGCTGAATACAGAGACTCTTTTTACACAACCAAGTGTTGTATTCAGCTGACGTTTCAGTGACCATCTGTCACCTTCCGCAGGGCAATTCTGACTGGTTCACATTGCACAGCACAGGTGTCACTGGTATGTTAGTTAGATTTAGTAGTTGGGAACGCATCGGGAAGAGTAGGGGTGTTGGGACATTAAATATAGATAACCAAATTAATGTAAGCATACATGTACATGTATATAAAAAAGTAAAACCTTCCTAAAGACAAAAATCAGTATTCAATTGCCATTCAGGATTCTAAAACACAATCATGGCATACATACTTCTAGGGGTAGCTCCAGCCCAAGACCGTCGAGCAGCTTGCTTGTCCACGGGCCACAGGTCAACACCAAACGTCTGGTCTGTATGGTTCTCTCGGACGTGACAACTGTAACTGTCGGCCCTGGTGTGATCCCTGTCACTGCCTCACCATCTCTCAGACAGCCACCCTTCTGGACAAACAGGTCCTATTGTGGATCAGGGACAAATAATTCAAGAAGTTATGTTGTAGATATCTTATGCCTACATATAATGCTTAATGTGAACAAGCAACTAAGGATATTGTTTTAGAGGAATAACCCATGCTACTACAGTAACTTCTACCAAAAAGATCTGCTATAACATTGAGTGTTGAAAAGGCAAGCCAATGAAACCAGTGTTTAGTGATCCTAATTTTGATTTATCATATAAACTGGTAGCTAAATAGTTTGAGATACACAATATTTTCATAAGATTAGCAGTTGTTCTGAACATACATGTACATGCAAGTTAGTAGAATAATAGGTAGGTTAATGATAACAAAACAAAAGTAGGATTTTGAAAGTGACATGCACCTGCAGAGCCCTGACAGCCTGGTCTGCCTTGATGAGTCCTGCCCCCTCCTCTGACACGCCCACGTAGTCGCCGGGGAAACGCAGCATGGGGAACTCTCGTTGGAGCTCCTGATTGGTCAGAAGTTTGGAGTGAACTCCGACCTTCTGCAGGTTTTCCTGGATGTCCTGTAGTATTGGGTTTTCTGGTCGGCCCCAAGCGAAATGTCTCGCATCTCTGCAGAAAGCCAGTAAGTATCATGAGTATACATGTAGGTTAGACCAAGGAGTTAAAATGATTTCTTTTACGGCATGGATGACAATGGCAATGAAGTTTATTGCATATTCATGCCCCAGTGGGGCTAAATGCACTCTTAAGTTACAAAAAGGATTAGGCAAACTGTGCTATGTTCTCTCTATATCTATAACGCAATTCCTATTCTTCTGTCTGAAAACATGTAAGACATCACTCCCTGTATCATAAAACTTTAAATATAAGGATGAAATTAAAACAAACCAAAAGTAAAGTAAGGAATGATATGTCAAGAATGATTGTTATTAAACAACTAAGTAAGGGGGCCAGTAGAAACAAAAAATCTCCTGACTCCTTGGAATTAAACCCGGGCCACCAGCTTAACTAATACTAACCAATAGAGAGGCCCCACTTTTCTTTATAACATTTGTCCCATTTGTTACTGTAACAGTAATACAACAGTTGACTACAGTAAAGTCCCAGTTATATTATAGTGCATTTCTGTAAGCTTAAGTGCCACTTCTATTCACAACATTTACACATCCACCCCTGTCCCTGGTGCTGAACAACATTCACACTGTAATAAGACTAGTGAAGCATTGCCCATTGTGAGTCCTTACACAGTGAGTTTGGTGCCAGTTTCCATCTCCACCTGCCTCCACAGTCTGTTGGACCCTGCCGCCATCCTGGCATAGTGTTCCTGCTTGTACGACTTACGCGTCGCCCTGGTCTGGCCCCACGAACTTCCACGGGAATGGGGGAGACAAAACTGCATGAAGGATATATCAAAACATTGGTATTAAATGTTGGAATGAAACTAGATTTGGGTACTTGTAACTGTTACAGATCTTTGACTTTGTTATCAAAACATTGACTGGTATCAAATGTTAGAAGGAATTTTTGTGATATCCAAAGAAAATGAAAGACACAATTTAGTTACTCAATACTACCACTACCAGTAGTACTAACAAGGGCCTATCAAAACATGGCTTTGCCTTGTTCATTGCACAAATGTTTTGGTTGCATGGTTGCATCATTGTTTTTTTGTTTCATTCCTGTTATAACATGTAAACCTTGGAAGAAATCTGACCAAGTTTTACCTGCTCCAGAAGTAGGGTTCTGGCTCCATTTTGCACCAGCTGTAGACTTGTGGCTGAACCCATGACCCCTGCACCAACAACCACACAGTCCCACATACATGTACCTGGCTCTGTCATTTCTCAACAGGATTAATATTACTTTAAACGAGTATCAATTACCACAACAGGAACAACCAAGGTGGAGCACAGAAGTCATCTCTTTACAAGAAAACCTACACTACACAGTAACAGTGCAGGATGCAATCATGACCACTCTGCAACTCAATCTCTTTGGCCCACTTCCAAAACAAGTGGAGCTTTAAACTTCAAGGTCATGGGGAGGTCAAGAATTTCTTTTAAAAAGTTGCTGCAGTTTGTTTGCGTCAATTCTTTCCTTCTACTATAATTGCGACTTTATCATTTCGTATTTGCTGCTGTGGAGTTTGAAACTGCCTGCTGCAATAAACTACTGTACTTAATGTTGTTCTTTCACCCCTAAAATGTCCATGGAACAACCCACAAAAACAGGTCAAGGAACAATGAATGATTAACCAATTATTAACCGAGGACGTCCTTGGATTACATGTAGGTCAAACCCTTCAGGCATAGCCCCACCATTGCCTTTTATACTAGCCACTTAAATAGTTATTTTGTAACATGTTCACTGTTATCACTGTTTATCAATATGTTATTAACACTTGCAATAAACTTTATACAGGAAGGGTATAGGATTTTCTTCTAACACAACCAGTAAGGTTCTCACCTGCTTACGTTTCGATGTCTATCAGACACCTTCCTCAGAGCTTCTGACTGGAGTTCTGCAACTCGCCGCTATTTAACGCCAAAGTAGGTGGCGCTTTTGCGGCGAGAATGCAATCCCAAACGTGGCTGAGCTTGTATCCCCCCTCGTCCCGGTTCATCACTGGGGTGGACTTCCTTATC